GACTAAATAGAAGTCAATTAAATGCCCATGCTGAAGAACAATTTCAGAATGATGAGAAAAACATATAAAATGAAGAATCATCCGATTTTATTGTAAAACATCAAACAAAAAAATTAAGAAAATGCCACGCAAATGGTCGAACATGATAAATTTGCCAACTTTACATGCCGATTCCACTCTACCGAGATTACCAGTTTTAACACTTACTGCTGAAAGTAACCCAGTTAATTTTTTTGAATTGTTCATGAGCAGAGAAATTATAGAGTATTTAATTAGAAGAAACAACAAATTACGCTGCCTCGAAAAATCAAAATATTTCAATTGAAATTGACGAATTTTATGTATTCTTGGGAATTTTAATTTTAAGTGGTTAAGTTCTATTACCAAGGCCAAGAATGTATTGGGAATACTCCGATGATACACATAATATTTCAGTAATGAAGTCTATGTGACGCAATAGATTTGAAGAGATATTTAGATTTTTCATGCTGCAGACAACAACCACCTTGCCGAAAATGATAAATTGGCTAAAGGATATTGTTGTAGCTTTTTTGACGACAGCCCTAGAATTGCGGCTATAAAATGGAAAGATAATAATGCTGTCACCATATTATCTAATGAGCATGGAATTGAGCCAATCCAAAAAGCAAGCTGACATTCACCAAAAGAGAAACAAAAAATTCAAACAGATCAACCATTTGTAATTTTGCAATACAACAAATTTATGGGAGGAGTCGACTTGATGGACAACAACATTTCGGACTATAGAATAAAAATATGTGGAAAAAAATGGTGCTTTCCAATATGGATATGGAACCTGGATGTTTGTGTAACTAATGCTTGGATACAAGCACGACAATTTGTCGTGCATTATTGTCTAATTATGAAAAACCAGCCCGTTCTACTAGACCTCCAAATATTGCAATAATTCCTGCTCCATCCATATCAACAGAGTATCTAATTATTATTGGTGCTCAAAGAAGAATATGTCGTTTCTGTTTAAATAAAACTACAAAAGCATGCGATAGATGTGAAATTCCACTCCACGATAAATGCTTCAAAGATTATCATACAAACTATTTAAGGCCTTAATAATATATTTTATAAATAATATAATTAAACTATGCCTACTTCATTGTTTTCATTTTAGTGAGTAAATGTTTAATTTGTTAGATGAAAATAAAATAAAATGTAATTGCGTAAAAGGTATTATTTTTATTTTGTACCCCTATGTGCCCAACGGTTCGTTAATGACCCAGCCTGTTTTTCAAAAATCAGTTTTTGAAAAAAAATTTTAGTAATTCTTCTATGCATTTTAGGGTATTTTATTACATTTTTGGGAAAATCAATAATATATTTAACAAAAATAGTTGTGGGCATGATTGGGTTAAATCGGTTTTTTTATTTGCATTAATTGTGGTAAGTCTGATGGATTTTCTGTACTGTTTTCTAAATTTAATAATAGTACTTTTAGGTACACCCATGGGATCGTTTTTATTTAATGTTATAATAGATTGAAGTCCCCAAAGAAATGAAAAATCAATTAATTATCTTTTATCTTACTTATTAAAAAAAATTAACAAACTCATCAGTAAAATTTAGCAGACTCTGGTTGCCAATATTATAAGAAAAAATCATCAACAAGAATATACTAAGCGTAGCGGATTATTTAAAAGTCAGAGACACATCTTCTACGATAATTATACATATTACATATTATATAACCCACAATATATACACATATAATACATAAACACAGACTACATGAATTTATAATACGTAAACACAACAAACAATCAGAATTTAATATTATTCTGAGGGTACAAACATCCCTTAGAATTTTCATCTAAAAGTAAGGCTATTTGCCTACAAGAATGAGGCCAAGTAAGTCACCCATGAACTTGGAAAACAATTAGTGCCAGACAATTTATTCGTTGTAATAATAGCTCACTAAACAAAAAAACTAACAAAAAAATCTTAATTTAAATAAATATTTTTTAAAAATGATTTCCAGAGTGGAAATTGAAACAAATACCCATTATAAAATATAATTTGTATTACAATCAACGGTGTCTTAATCCCATATAAACATAATATTTAAAAAAAATATCCCCTTTATTAAAACAAAAAGTTCAAAAGTTTGGATAATTTAATATTTGATTTAACACTAAATATATTACCCGACATGTGCCTGTATAACTACGAATAAATATTGTTTTATTGTTTCTGACGGTTTTATCGACTACAATTAAAATAACGGGAATGTACACATAAAGCATTCTTATCTCAATTCGATTATGGTATAATGAGAGTAAAGAGCAATATTTCTGTGTACCTACATTTGTTTATATCAATTTCTAGGAAGAATTGTGACACAGATATCTGAAAATGAGACTAGTGATTATTAATAGTTATGGAGGTACGTGATAAAACTGTTTCATATATCATGCGGATCGAAATTCAAGGTAAAACTACAAAATAATTAGAACAGTTGTTATTATTATTAACTTTAATCTACAATAATAAGCATTTTTAGTCCTATATTAATTTTATGAATAAAGACCTTCCTCGTTTATCACATTGAAATGTAGTGCGCATGAGCCCTTTCTAGTTTAATGTCGCATATATTTTTATGTCGTCAACCAAATGGATATAGTGGTCTTTTTGGTTCATGTTTACAATTTTTCTATTTTATTCTATCTACTATATTCGAGGTGTTCGTTGTTTGTTAGTTATGTATTTCCTCTGTAATTTGTCTGTCGATAATGTCTTCTATTATTGTATTCCAAATTACTTCATTGCCTCGGAATCTTTCTTATCTTTTTCATATTTAGTTTAGCAAATGTTTAGGAGTAAACTCAATACGTGAGAACATAACGAATAAAAGAACTGCACACTTTAATTATTGTAAGTCTTGGAGGTATATTTTATCTTTCAGTATGAAAGTTTGTCGAAGCCTGCGGTCTTATACAGGTCGAGAATATGACCTAGGTATATGTACTCTTTTACATGTTCTATGTTTATTCCTTAAAAGGTTGTTACCAATTTTTTATTCCTCTTGAATATTAAGTTTTTTTTGGTAATTTAGTATTTTTTCAGTGACTCTAAATTTACTTATAGAAAATTTGTATTACACCAGAAAGCAGTCTTACACATTGATGGATGTTCAATTGACGAATATAACATTTAAAGAGGATTCGCAGAAAGAGGTAAATTCTATCCCTTCTTCTTCTTCTTGTTCCATGACCAGTATCGATCGTTGGATATTATGTTGACTACCATATTCGCTATAGTGGTTTTATTGACAGCAATTCTAAATAATGAAGAGTCAACTTTCCGTATCATTGACTTTAATCTTATAGCCATGATGTTTTTCTGCTACCAGGACCATGTTTACCTTGGATCTTTTCCTAAATGATCAGATGTAAAAATTTATATTTTTCTCATAATTAATTATTTAATTAAGTATATTTTAATTAATTAATTAATTAAAATACACTTAAATATAATCATAATTATATTTAAGTGTCTCATAATGTGACCGAAACATTTCAGCTTGTGTCTGTTTATTATATTGACCAGCTGTGTTGTTTGGTTCAGGCGTCTAAAAACTTCTAGTTTTTACCTCTGTTGACCCAGCTTATTTCCTGCTTCCTGCTTATTTTATCCCTGCTGTTATTTAATATCTACACTGATATATTTTTCCAACAGGCTTTGTAAGATAAAACTTTTAGATAAGCTGATGACAATATTATCTTATGCGATATTTTCCAGAGCCTTTAGGAGTTTTTGGATTGAGTCAGCATAACAGGAAGAGAAACGGGTCTTAAAATAAATGCTTTTAAGAGAAAATTTATAATGTTTAGTAGTCAACCTCACGACAATGCTTCTCTACATATAGAATAATACAACATTGAGGAGGTTACTCACTTTAGATGTCGAAAGATGCTATATTACAGACCAACCCAACCCAAGCAAAGAGATAAAACGCAGAATTGAAGCAGCTAATACAACCTTTTTAAAAATTGTTCTGTAACCACAGCTTAAACTTAAAATTACTTTAAAAAATGAATAAGTGTCATATTTGGTCAGTGTCGTTACATGACACTGAGATCTGGACTCTGAAGGCTGATACGATCAATTTTTGAGAGCAGTTTGAGATGTTATTTCATAGCAGAATGCTCCAAATACCCAGGACAGCAAAGCAGACCAACCAAGCTGTATTAAATTCGTCTTGATGATTGGTTATTTGAAATGGTGAATTTTCTAATTTGTAATTTTCGTTTTACATTTCTAATAAACATGTTTTATTATAGTGAGTTGTTGAAAGGAATTGAAAGGAAATAGATGTCGTAGCTCTACAACACTCCCAACTGGAATATGTAGTTTCGAACAACTATTCCAATGAGCTTAAGACCGTGAATACTTTGCCAATGTAATTGCTATCATTAGCCTAACCTAACCTAATAATGGTATCAAAAGAAAACAAAGACGATTAACATACAATTTAAAATATCTTCTGTTAATATTCCATTATTTTCCCAGTCTAACAATTTAAAGATGTCTTGTAGCGGGGCTGTACATAATTTTGGTATACTGCTTTGTTCTTTTTTATTTCTTTGACTAGTATTTCTATTTCTTCTTTGTTTATGTCAAGCATTACTTCGTGAACTCAGATTTTTTGTTAACGATCTTTTTAAGTTTTTTTTTTGAAGCCGTGGGTTAATCGTCTCTCTAATTTAGAGTGATACTACGCCCTGACAAGGGTTCAAAGAATGAGGGGGAGAAATAGAAAAATAGACAACCTTTGTATTTTACATTTTTATTTACATAATTTTAATAACAATAATTAATAAAATCACAACAAATACGATAAATCCTTGTTATATTCAGTCCAACAATAAACAATCAAACATAAATAAACAACACCAGAGATAATACTTCCAAAACGCTCCCCTTTACAGGAATCCATCGGAAGGTAGTTCTTTCTAATCAGTCCATTAATGCTTTTTGCCACCACCACCACCTCCACCACCGCCGCCTCCGTGACCGCTAGCGAATCCGTACTCCTTTCCACCCTTGTGAGCGCCTTTCTTTCCATAGTCGGAATGATGAGAGTGATGACTTTCGTGCCCTCCATGCCCTTTATGGCCTTTATGGTCTTCGTCGTAATGACCTTTGTCGGAATGACCTTTCTTGCCGTGGTGGTCGTCGTGATGACCACTTTTGTGCGAGCCGCCCTTCTTGTGGTGGCCGGATTTTCCTCCGTGATGGCCGTGGAAATCTCCATGTTTTTCGTGATGACCACCTATAAAGAAGTAGTTAAATATAATATGTTTTATAAATGAAGTTTATAAGATAATTAATAGAATAATATTCAATAAGATACAGAAATTGTTAACATTTCAAAGGATCAAATGTGATTAAGGTATTACTAAAAAATACCTGTTGCTAAATGAAGAATATAACATAAGAGATGCAGCAATGTGATTATTGTAGATTTGTTTGTTGAACATAATACAAGAATTTATGCCAGGATCAATGTTTAACATAATTGTGCCCAGGTAAACATGAAAAGAAGAAAAGATCTATTTAAGCGATGCTTTAGAAAGCTGGTGGACTCTGAGGATTAAAGTATAAGCGCACTCTCGTGCGTGGAGAAATTTAATCTTAATTAGTCAAAATATAATAAACACGAAAACAAAAGAAAACAATTTTATCCAAGATATGAGCGACTTTTCTCAGTTTACAAATATATAAATGAAGAAAATAAAATAAAGTACCTTCAGACAAACTTTCTGTTTTCAAAGATTCGTTATCGATTTAATATATTAGCTCTAGGTATAAAACAGATCTGCCTAAGCACCAAGGACTAGTTAATGAAAGAAATAATGCAATAAGTACGACCGTTATAAAAGAGACGGCCAAACATTTAACAAAGATAAAGACATATTAAATTACCTTTATGGTAGTCGTCGTAAAATTTGTGTTCCTTGTGATAATCGTCCTTGTGTGACTTATGATGGTACCCTGTGGTCTTTTGTCCCTTCTTGTGACCCTTCTTCTCACCGAACTTTCCGCCTTTGTGACTTTTACCAGAGGCATGATGTTCACCATGGTGGCCTCCTTCATCGTGATGGTGTTTGTGGTGACCTGCAAAACATTTAACAGATTTAATACCACTTTCACTGCATTTAATATTCCTACAGTTTACTAAATAGAGTAGTAGAAAAAAATTGGAATGTGATTGAACATAAAAAAATTGATTTATTAAAATTATTATTATATTAACAATATCAGATTATATAGAGCCACGTACCAAGACCGTACACATAAATTTAAGGCTAGGTAATGACCAAGTCATTATGCTGACTGACGTGATAATTATGGTTTGACTTTAAACAACCTTGTTTATGAATTTTATTACAATACTGACAGATAATTCACTAGAGACTATAAATTAAATTAATGCCTAAATAAAAAGGTTTTTTTCGACTATTATGTTAAAAAAAATGTGTAAAATAAATGTACAATTTTGTTTTAAAGAAATCAGTTGATCATGCATACGATTTTAAAAGTCTTACTTGCCTTAAATTAATTTTAAATAAAATTTGTATTAACTTGACAGTAAAATTAGATACTTTTTTACTAGTGTCCTACCAATAACAATCAAAATGCATTTTAATGATAAGGAATGCAGTTTTTGTAAGCAATTTTTGTATTTTGCCTCAAATAAAGTTAGTTTTTATAAAGGTGTTACATAATTAAATGACGTTTAAAATCGTCGGTCGCTTCAAGTGTTGTGTTTGAGAGAACTGTTCATTATACACAAAAAGTGATAATAAATATTTTTGTTTTTTTAAGTTATGTATATTGGCAGTTTTAAATACTTATGATTATTACATTTTAATTCATATTGTATTATTATATCGAATTATGTTGCAGTGTATTTATTGTATTGTAATTTTTATATTAATAACACAATAAACAATGAATGTTACTGCAGAGTATGTATAAAAATATTTTTTTGCATTCAACTCCTTTTATACATATATGAAAATAAAAATATATTTTCATTAAAATATTGATACAATCCTTCATTTACTATACTCCTATTAGAGGTCAAATTTTTATATAGAGCAAACGATGCACCATATACCTATATAACTAATTCTTTTTCTCTTTCTGCTCTCTCTTACCTATAGCATTATATATGTAATGATTGTGTAGATTGACTCCCATATAAATTTGTAACGGCGAACGCGTGTATAGAAGTATAACTTCTTATAAGTATAAATAAAATTGACATTCTCAGCAAAATTAAGTTTGCTACTTGCTAGTATGATTGTTAGAGGTCAAATCTCTGACGACTAGACTATAGAGCAAATATATAACTTCAATTATCTGCTAACGATGAAATACTAACGATAGATGTGGGAAATAAAAAAAAGGATAAGTGTGGATACACCAAACTGCATTTAACGGCTTGGCGCATATATCGTATAGTCAAAACAAAAGTTTAAACTTTAAAGTACAAAAACTTAAATGTTTTTTTTCTTCGTGTTGTTGCAGGATGTAAAAGCTTCTTCTTCTTTTTGGCTCGCTTTACATCTCGGGGTGAATCTTCGATGCATTCACTATAGCCCTTCATCTTCTACGATCTTGCGCTTCTATTTCCCATTGTACTCAAATCCTAGACAAATTAGCTTTAACATCATTTGTCATTGTCTCTTAAAAAATATTGTCTTTTTTACTCTCTCTTCCTCTGATCTTTCCATATGACCTGCCCATCTTCTCGTTTTTTTATATGTGTTACGACGTTTTCAGTACCATAGGGAGTCATCAATTTATTACTGCGGCGCCTTCTTCACTCTCGTGTTAATTTTTTTCTTTAGGGTCCAAATATCATTTGAAGAGCCTTTCTTTTAAAAACCTGCAGCTTATCTATTTCCCGCTGATGTATAAGCCACATTTCACTTCCATATGTAAAAGTAAGGAGAATAATTAACTGAAGATTCTATTTTGAGTAAAATGCACTATTTCCCATAGCTATCCTTTCTGAGAGTTTTTTTTTCTATTTGGTTGTCATCTCTAATTACCATCCCCAGATATTTAAACTCTTTTACTACTTCGAACTTGTGGTCATCAACATTTATATTTTACCTAACTTTTGGTATTAGATTTTTGGTAACTTACACGTATTTCGCCTTTTCTTCATTTATTTGAAGACACAGAATGAGCGACTGCAACTAGACGATCAGAAAAGGACAACAATGGTTTTGATTCATGATTCGCAAATTCTCCTGTTAGCTCAGACAATATTTGACCTATTGCATATTCTAATGCTAAATTGAATTGCAACGGTGATAAAACGTGTCCTTGTCTAAGTACCGATGTTATACTAAATGGCATCGATGTTCTGTTTCCTATCTTTACCTGTGTATATGAGTTTGTCACGCTTATTTGAGTTAGCTCCACTAATTTTCTTGGTGTAAAATCGAGGACATTAAATAAACAATACATGATTAAAATGTTGACATATTAAAAGTTTCTAAAGGACTAGCTAGTTAGAAAGTACTTGAAAAGATGAACTAATAAAAATAAATGGTATTAACAATTAAAACATGAAACCTAAGCCACCTGATAATATACTTTACACTTGAAAATAAATGACATTTACTGGAATTCATTATGCAAGGAAGATACTTGGCAATCGCAGCTTTGGGATTGATAGGATCTCTAAAGTTTATTTCACTATTGTGGACAGCAGTAGGGGCTAAAATTGCCGTTCTAATAGCCAATATTTGTAGCGAAAAACAGGAAATAATAATATAAAACTGTTTTTTTTACATATTTCAAAATTTGAGCATTTTTTAACTCCGAGAATATTTTTATTTCAAATATCATTTTTAAGACACTTTAGATTGCCCTGTATATAATTGTTGGGATTGTTTTTTTTTTGTTAAAAGATTAAAATATGTACATCCATTATTAGTGATGGGTATATACCTACAACGGATCGATTTGACAAATACAGATTTTAACAGTCAATGTTTCGATATATATATATATATATATATATATATATATATATATATATATATAATATATATATATATATATATATATATATATATAAAGCACTTTTGAAATTAGTTTGTTTATGTTTGAATTTGTCGCACTCAGTGGTAGTACATATTATTGTTAAGTTTGTATGACACTGCTCATATATTAGTTGGTTAATTTTGAAAATTGGTACACGTCTATATAATTAATTATGGCCTAACCGTAATCAGTAAACTACACTCTGCTAGTGGCAGTTTTTGTAAGCAGGCATAGACCATACAACTATGTATTTAATTTGTCAATTTAGACAGTTTAGAGATTCATTTTTACTTTTCTGTATGTCAGACTTCCAAGCCTTTTTCCTAAAAGAAAAAGACTAGTATCATCTCAGATATACATAGGGATTAGAGGATCGGCGGGGTCTGAGTATTAAATTTCGAGAAAGTCACAGTTTAATTTCTTCGAATATGTTCTAACACTTTCAAATAATGATCTGCTTAGTTTTTGTCTAAAGTAAAAAATAATGAGTACATTAACTTATAGTAAAGGAATAACTTTAGTGAAGAAAGTATTCTTTTACTACAAGACTTTCCAAACTAAATGAACGACAGAAGTTTAGTCTAAGTCAGTTGGTAAAGTCTAGAATTTATTTACATATTCTGAATATGTATGATGAAGTTTAAATTTCGACTGCTACATCTTTTTTTTTTCGAAAACATGTTATTTATTCGCCTCTTACTACATTATGTATCTGTTTATAAAAATCATATATTTTCTGTTTAATTAGGCAGGAGATATAATAAAGACGTCTTTATTTTTCACAGCGTATACTGACTTTGAAAATGGCCTACAGCAAAATCAAACTTCCTAAAATCTGTTTTAAGAATATTGTGGTGTTTTATGCTATATGATGTTTTATGACAAGTTTTTGAGCTTCCAAAAAGCCCACGCATTTTTATTTGGATTTTAAAATTAATCTTTAATTTGCGATATGGCAACTATCAAAATTAATGCACAGAAAATCATATAAAAACTAGATGTAGTTTCTTTTCCTCTAATTTAGATAATTTTTGTAGATGTAAATGGTGAATGCCTATAAAAAATTCAGCAGCTACCTTTCTTGACGGACAAATCGGCTGTACCAAACCTTTGTTAGAAAGAATTCACACATAAATGCAATGACAGGACTTACTGCTGCAGCTATTTGAATTATAAAAGGAATATGTGCCTTGAAATCGTAAAAGTAAGTTATTACCACTACATAACATCGAGAAACCTAGATAACTCACTATGCTTTTTCTTCTTCTTTGGCCTGTTTGCATCATCTGGTGGATAAAGACTTCGTAAAGAGTTCTCCACTCTTTTTGGTGCCAGCTTCTCCTCACTTTTGCTTTGGTATCCTCTAACCACCGTTTTTGTGGTTTTAATCTACCATGACTGTGGTAGCGTGGTCTCCAATTTGTAATGTTTCTCGTTCATCTTTTATTCTTTTGTTGTACCACGTGTCCGACCAGCTCCATTTGCGCAATTCTTCCAGTTACATCTTCCATCTTCGCCTGCTTCGCGTATCCCTATTTTGTGTATATTTTCTTTCAGAGAAACTCTTATATTAAAAGGTAAAAAAATATAATTCATGTTAGGGAAATAAGAAAGGATCAGCAGCATTGTAAATTGATCTATAAAATGTAATTGATGTATGCAGTAAATTATTGTAAGATTAATATTCAGAAATGGAATAAAATTATAGATAGATTATCTAAAAGATAATGTGAGTATTGTGTTTGATTTTTGAAGATTAGAGCCATGTTATGTATCAGATACTTAGGAAGTTGCAGTAGATATTACACAACTGGTTGGTGTTGGTCTTATAATTGATAGATTTAGAGGTTTTCTTAATGTGTACCATTTTAAGAAAAAGCCGGGTTTAATATTTATCAACTTACATTAGGATTTTTACATAATTAAAGTCAAACGTATGTCCTGATTTTAGATGGTGGTCTACTAAGGCACAGAGCTTTTTCTTATGTTGCGATCACTTTTGAGATAAGTGTCAGAGACAAGTGTAATATAACAACTTTGACATTTAC